TGCCTCTGCCAAAATGTCTCACAATTTCCCCACTGACACTTCTATAAAATACGCTTCCTCAGTGAACTTCAAGGAATGCACAATCTATTTTGTAAGAATAAGTTAACACCAAATCCAGATATTCTAAAAGTCCTCATCAATCGCATACAAATCCTTGAATACCTCAAAATTAACGACCTTATAGTACATCATAGTGAGTATAAGTGGCAACGACTTAGTGCATCAACTACTTTATTCTAACTCCATGCTTTATGTTTGAGTAAAAAATAGAATAAGGAAAAAACTCCATCCATAAGGTATGTCTATCCTTTAACTTATTATGATTATTCAAGAATCTTAGATATAAGTGGCAAAAATTGATCTGACATGCCAATTCGACCCAAAACTTGACTTGAAAAATCAAGATTTGGGTTGACCCGACAAAATTTTGGGTCAAGTTTGGGTTAAAAATCATAACCCGTTTAATTTCTTGGGACTGGTTTAGGTTGACTCACAAAACCGTAAATGATTTGAAATTGACCTGTCAACCCTAAATTGACTTGAAATCAACCCGCCAATCTGAATTGACTCGAGATTGTTTATGACCAGAATAGTTGTTATTCCTTATGTTAAACGGGTTATACGAGATTCAAGTCCACTTCTGGGTTGAACTTTTCGACCCATTTAATCTTTGGGTCAAGGTCGGGTCAAGCTGTTTCGCGTCAAACTCAAACCCGACTCGCAAACTGAATTCGACAGCCCTAATCTCAGCGTTTCATGATCAGTGTAGAGAGTAAATTTATTTGACAACATGTAATGACTCTAGCAACTCGATAATCACACAATAGCATAAAACTTATCATATGTAGAGTACTTTCTCCTTGAATCACTTAAATTTTTAATAAGGAAAGCAATGAAATGACTTTCTTGACTTATCATAGCTCCATTCCCATATTAGAGGCATCACACTCTACCTCGAACACTTGATGGAAATCTGGAATTGCACGAATGGGGGCCCGAATACCAGTCTTTTCAAAGCATAAAAAATAGCTTGAGCATGACTTGACCACGCAAATTTATCTGACTTGAGAATCTCTGTGGAAGGGGTTGCAATCAAGCTAAAATTTCGGATAAACGATTGTAAAAAGAAGAGACCAAGAAACCGACATACTTGAGTAAATAACTAGGGCCTAGGCCATGCTACAATAGCCTCGATTTTAATTGGGCCTATCTCAATTCTAATAGCTGAAAAAATGAATCCTAAAAAGCACATCAGTCGTGTATGAAAATAACACTTCTTTGGATGACCATATAGTTGTTATGTCCGAAGAACCTCAAAAACTTAGCACAAATGCTGTCCGTGCTCCTCTGAACTATTTTACATCAGTATTTCATCAAAGTACACAACCACACATTTTTGAAGGCTTGAATAACTTGGTTTATCAAATGCATGAAAATACTCGGGGCGTTGAATAGCCCAAAGGGCATGAGTTTCCACTCGCACAATCCACCTCGGTTCTTAAACGTTGTTTTCCACTCATCCTCTAGTCTCATTCTAAGCTGGTGCTAGCCAATGCGCAAATCAACCATGGAGAAAACACCATACAATCGATCAATCAAGCTGTCCAATGTAGGAATAAAAAATCTTTACTTGATTGTGGCCTTGTTCACAATTGTTGTTCATGCACATGCGCCGTGATCCATATTTTTTTTTTTGGCAAAATCAAAGCTGACACAACATCTGGATTGGTGCTCTTGATAACAAATCTTCAAGCTATCAAGTCCTCAACCTGCTTCAGTAGCTCCTCATACTATGTTGATCGCATCCGATAGGCCAATCGGTTGGGAAGGACTAATCCTGAGATAAAGTTTATAGCAGGTTGAATGTCCGAAAAGGTGAAAAACCAAGTGACATGTTGTCCATCAAGACATCTTGAAAATCCTCTAGTAATGATTAAATTACTTCAGGTATTGGTTCCTCCACCTCATTGCCTTCTAGCATTACCAAAGCCAATCCTACGGGTGCCTCTCTTATTGCCCATAAAAAGGTAAAACGATAAATGATGGCTCTAATCTCTATCTAAGTGCTCATCACCACTAACTCATTCAATAACAAAAGGAGAATGTGTTGCCCATCCTTATTAAATGTTAGGTATTTTTTTGGCCATCATGAAATGTACATCTATCGTATTATTATGGTCCGCTTGCAGCAATTGAAAAACACAAATCTCGTTTCTCTTCTTCAACCAAATAAAAGAGTATGGTTGTGAATGCTTATATGTAGCAGCTCAATTTATCCATCATCTGTGTAGAAACCACATTTTCACAACTACTTCCATCTATGATAAGGTTGCACATCTTCCCCTTTACAATAGAATGAGTAGGAAAGATGTTATGCCCGAGGCCATTGCTAATCCCTGTTTGGCTTGGTCTGGAGAACCCATCGAAACATAAATTTCACTGTCATCTGTAGGTAGCTGGTACTCCACTCCATTCTCCTCCTCGAGGTCTTCACTCTCCACCACACACTGCCCGGTAAAAGAAATCACCGTCATGTTTGAACAGTTGAATGCAATGTGCTCATATACATGACAATTGAAATATTTTCTAGCTAGAAATATCATGGTCGTGCTGGTCTGGCCAGTCTACTTTTCCTCCTGTGTTGACTTTTCTTCACAAGTAGCAGGTCTAAGTAGTATGGACGGTGTGCATTTCTACTTGATTTGAAAGCTGAGTCCAATTTGTAAGGTGGTGAGGACCTGATATTATGATGTCATCACTCCACCTTCAAGGCTAATATTTGAATATCTGATCAAGTCCAATAGGGCAATAGACTATCTCAACAACCCCTCCCCCCTCCCCCCGATATTGGGCTATGGTGCTCTCCTCGGACTAGACAAGTTCACACTTCAACACAATTTGCTCAAATATAGCAGTGCACTCTTCTACTGAAAGATTTTTCTGCAATAAATGATAAAGCCTCAAAAACAAATCCTGTCTATAATGCATTGGTAGATATGTTGCATCTCCCTATTCACCTTTGATCGGGTAATGATTTTGTTTTTTACCTCACTGGCGTAGGTGTTTTAAGTTTTCCCACCATAAAGACACTTTTCTCAAACTAGATAACGACCAGATTTACCCTTTTATAAGGAGGGACGTCCTTGTATTTGAAGAATCATTCCACTATTTGGAGTCATTCAATAAACTCACTCGGGTTCATGCGGCTATCAAAGTTCGGTAGGTCTACCTTGAGTAAAAAATCACTCTCTCTCTCTTAACCAATATTGAATTGACATGGTATTGGCTCTTCGACATTTGAAACTTAGTGCAAAATGTTTTCTTCATCTCCTTCATCTGGGTGGTCATCGTTGTTGCTATGGGTGACTTCCTCATGATGCCTTCTTTCAAAATCAGTAAGTCTCTGTTGTAATTGAATGAAGTAAGTCTCTGTTGTAATTGAATGATTTCCCGCTATATGCCCTCTGGTAATTTCTTGAGCACCCCATTGAGGGTTTCTCCTTGACGGAATAGCGTCTCATTGTTCCAACCGAGAATTTGGATAGTTCTAATACCAAATCACACCACTCTAGAGTTCCTAAATGAGATAGATAAAAATGCTTTAGGAACGTCGTAGGACTGATACCGACAATGGGATGATGGATGATAGCTAATAATTGGCACGAATAGTGATGATACAACATCCATGGAGAGGAAAAAAGGATTGTTCCTAATGTAAACAGTCGAAGCGAAGTAGCGTTGACAGTTATTTAGTCGAAAATAGCAGACAAACAATAAATTAAAGACGTTCAGATCCATAATACAACATACATAAAGGTTCTGTAAGTGAGAATAACCTAATTATAAACTAGAAAAATAGGAATGGATAAAAAAGAAATGAGCAAATGAAGAAACTTGCTGAAAATAAAGGAAACGAACTAAAATACAATAACAAAAAGTGTGTTGGTTTGGTCGTTCGGTCCACAGAACTCCCGCAATCATGAGAGCCGATAATGTGGGATCGCAGTATCGTGGAAAACCACGCCCTGCATCAGTAACTCTTTTTGTTTACTGAATAGAAAAAAGAATACAAGTCTACTCTCTAAGAAAACATTTTAATTGATTCAACCATCTTCCCCTACTCCCTCTCTTGTTTCCTCCCTCTTCATATCCATCCCTACCTTCTAAATAAAGGTGAGCATTTAGCCAGTTTGGATTGTTCGGTTTTCAAATTGCATAAACCGACTTCAACTGAAATTCAAAATCCAAAGTACTGAACCAAGTAAAATTTTGATAAAACTGAACCATCAAACCACAGTTTAATTCGGTTTAAATGGTTCGGTTTAACCTAAACCGAAATATAGTTTTAAGGTAAAAAAATATGATGATAACGAGAGAAAATGAAGATTATTACGCAAGGATTATGTAATGTTGATCACTAGAAAGATTACTTCTGAACATTTCAAGGAAGATTTAGCTAGAAAAGTTGATTTTTTGTTCATCGGTTCAATAAAAACTAAATTTGAAGTGTAAACCAAAAATCAAACTTCAATATTTTTAAAACAATAATCATTCTTTTTTTAAAACCAAACCAAATCAACCAAATTGACTGTGTTGGTTCGGTTATTCGGTTTAAACTAAATAATGCACACCCCTCCAGACAAAAATTGTTCGGGGAACTTTTATAAGCCTTCAAAACATATACATATAGGACTAATCATGTAAATGATAGATGCATGTAAAAGGAGGGCTCCATAACATGAAAAAAAAACCACTAATCCTCTTCTAACTAGTAATTTGAGTCATTTCTTTGGAGTGTGATAGTCAAATTCTGACTTCTCACAGCAAACCTTTTTGCACCTAGAGCACTATGAATAACCAAACAGTATCTAGTGGAAAAAAAATCTTTATCTTTTAATAAAATAATTAAAGCTATCAAAAGAATAAAATAACCAAAAAGGTGACAGCGTAAAAAATGTGCACTCCTGAGAGCAAAAATAATAATAAGCATATAAGCAAACCTTCTTTGCACTAAGCGGATAAAGTGCTGGGGAGGAACAAAAGCACGCTCCATGTCAATTAGCGCAACAACCATCTTTTTTGCCTCACTTCTAAAATTTTCTAAAGCATTTGAAGCAATTGCAATAACCTTGAAAAAGAATAATATATATTAGACAATCAGGACATAAAAGCATTGTTTGCAACAAAATTGAAAGAGTTGATGATGACACTATAACAACCTCACGCTTAAATGGAGCATATAGTCCAAGTCCCGGAGTAGAATTTGCAGCTGCAGAAACTATATCTATCAAAACACGATGCACCTGACCAAAGTGATAACCATGCAATGAATAGTTTAATAAAAATAAGAAAATTACAGCAGGTAAGAAGCCAGAAGAGACTGTTGTATAAAGAGAACTCACAGATTTCAAATAAAATTTCAAAAATATAACAATATCACATCACTTGAAAAAATTTTTAATTGTAAAATGCACTTGCATCCTATATTTAGGCTTTGAACCACACAATAACACTAAATACCGTACATGACAAAACTATATGTCAGGTCTACCAAAAAAAACCTATATCAATTGAGAAGGATATTAAATACGTTGTTGATGATAAAACCCCCATTAAACTCTCAAACTATATTCAGGCAAACTAGCACATATGCTCAAACCTGACCGTCCTCAAATTATCCAATTTGGAATAAGCATTTTAATAAAAATATTAAATGAGGTAATTTCCACCAAAACAAAACCTTTTGTATGCATGGCATAAGAGCAACATAAGAAAATAAATAAATAAAAAATATCATTGTTTAGTGTGGGCTCTGAAAATTTGCGCCTGGAACTCTCATTGAGAGTTTTGTGTTTATTATTCAAGGTTAAATTTTCAAAGGGCAGATGAAACAATGGATAAGACATAACCCAAAAGTTTGCTCTTATTTTGCGAGGACTTTAAGATCTGAGGTTCGAGGTTTTCCAATAAGCACAAGCCTTTATGGTCAATTATCACTCTCAATAATAGAAGAGAACTTTTGATTAAGGCAAATCATTAAGCATTGAATATTCAATATATAGTAGCAGCAAACTTAGATTTTAGGTTATAAGATTTTGTCACTGTGAGATTAAAGCGATGGTGGTAAAATGAAGACAAACTCGATCAAGAGTCTATAGTTTCATCGTCTCGAGCCGTATGGTACCTGATCTACTTAATCAGACGAGGTAATAAAATATCTATTCTGACCAAAAAATCTTTGTCAGCAATCATGAGTTTCATGGTCAAAATAGATGTCATAAATATGGGGTGAATATTTGTCTAAAAAGAAAAATCTAAGTAGACTTTAAGTGACAAATGGTTTTGTATCTATCAACATATCATTATGCTACACAGCTCATAGGATAGAAAGTCAATGGAAAAAATACAAATTATAGTCGTAATTGTGCTTTGATGGTATCATTTGGATAGAAAGTCAGAGGGCTATAGTCGTAATCACTATATTTTATGAAGTCTCTACGACAAACCAACATATAGAGAACCCGAGCCACGTACTTACTAGTGTAGATATGTTTTAAGTGTGAACATCAAAATATATTTAATTTTAAATTTTTCTTTACAAAATGAGATTAATAAAAAAATTCATTATCAAAAACTTTTGCAAAAGGTGAACAAATTTTACTTGACTATTTTGGTTTGTTAGTTTAAAAACTTTGATTTCAAAATTTGATACATTATCCCTCCCAACACAGCCCTATCATCGAAGTTTAGCATTTGATATATTAAAAATTTTGACTACTTATTTTGGTTTGTTATTTTATGCCTCGAGATTTATACTTGTTATTTGGATATTATTAACAACACCAGAATCATCGATTTACGTCCACGTGAGGAAGACGGTCAGACTAATTAATTTTTGAATTGTGATTCTATTATATAGATAAAGTAATCCCTCTAAAATAATCCTAAATTAAATTATATTTAGTTTCACTTTAAACTATAAGGGTTTGTAATTTTTAAAATAATCGTAATCTATTCAAGAATAAGATTTGAATGCACATCTCAAAGCAAGAACAATTCAAGTGAAAGCTTAATTTTCATCTGCATAGCTTTCTCATGCAGTACACTTAAAATGTTTGGTGTGTTTGGTTGGAACACAGGTTGTTTAATAATTCTAAAAGATTGTCACATATTTCAACGTACTCATACTATACATTTTTACATGAAACTTGGCACAGTTATATGATGCAATTACATAATATGTTATGCTTTTCGAAATATAAAATGATGCTTGATGCATTCATAAGATGCATTGCATATGTTTAAAAATACGTGCTTACATTTTAAGGCAATAAATAGAAGAAAAAGAATAAAAAAACTTCAAATACAAAAGCAAGCCTTGAAATCATTGAAATTTATTGGTTCCATTTATTTTTTGTTAAAATGCATGTGCATAAGTTAAAGTACTTGCACTACTACTTGAACGAATCTTGTCGCGCTTGTACAAATCTTATAGTGTTGAATCAAATTTAAACACTACCTTAAAACTTATAAGTCATGAAATCATTTATAATTTTAGAGTGTGAATATTTTAACTTTAAGACATGCGCAAAAAAAAATAAAAAATAAAAATAAAAATAAAAACTCATTTTGTATTTTTTTTTTAAAGATTACCTTTAGCCTGCTCATATTCTTATTGTAGATTCGGTAGGGATTAAAGCGTCTTAAAATTTAAGAAATTAAATTATATTATTTGCATCTAATTAGTTATTCACTGAATTTCTATATGTTCTATAAAATATTTCTTATATTTGTCAATGGGCTTCCTAGTTCATGATAAACTCTTCATAAATATTTTTTTGAATTTCACTCTTGTTTGTTGGTGAATTATTGAATCCAATATGTATAAATCTTCATATATATATTTAAATTTACATTATTTAACGCAAAGAAATTATTGTATTCGAATTATTGATCTTGTCTTGTTTTCTTTATTTTATAGCCCTTTTTATCTCATGTTTTTCATAGCACAAATAATTATTCTAAAATTAGTTCTTTGCAAGTCTAAATTACCCCCCC